GAGAAACAACTATCATCATGGGAAAACGGAAAAGGGAATTTTCGGAATGTTCCCGAGCACAGAAATTCAGGCGGGTTGCCAATGTGCGTCGGTGTCGTTTGAGGAACCAGAACTCAAGTTCTGAAGATGAAGATAATGCAGCCAATGCCAGGCGGGGATTACAGTGGGAGGCAGTGTCAGTATTTTTTTGGTTTACTAAAGTAGGATACTCAATCGAATAATTCATAATTACTTTTCATGTTTTTCTTTCTTTACCCTCTGCAGGCCTCGAAGTAGTCAAGGTAATGGGACGCTCTGTAACGAGAATGATCCTATCAACTCCAACAGCTGTAATGAGGAGGCGCCCAGTCCACCTCCACCTGAACCAAACATGGATAATGGCTTTGTACCGGAGCCAAGAAATTGTGAAGTGGAACCACAACCTGTCATCAATAATTGTGCTCCCCCTGATTCTGATCCCAGTGAGCCAAGTGATAATGATGACAGTTCACACAGTTCTTCAAGCAGTGACAGTGCTCAAGAAAGTGACTTCGGGGACACAGATGACGAAGATGAAGATGCTGGTGATGAAGATGCTGATGATGAAGATGGTGGTGATGAAGATGGTGGTGATGATGATGATGGTGGTGGTGGTGATGACGATGATGACGATGGTGACGATGGTGATGATGGTGACGATGGTGGAGGGGGAGGGGGAAGTGAAAGTGAGGATGAGAACGATGATGGTGTTTACAATGATGCTCGATTGTACCCAGGAGCACCAATTTCAGTCACGGAAAGTATGCTGTCAATTTTGTCCCTTAGTCTTGCGCATAATTTATCTGATTCATGTCTGACAGATATTTTAGAATTAATTGCAATGCATTGCCCACAAGAAAACTCTTGCCCCACTTCCCTTTATAAATTTAAAAAGTTCTTCTCAAACTTAAAATCCCCAGTCAATCGTCGCTATTTTTGTTCAATTTGTTTTGAATCAGTTGATAATGCAAATGACATCTGTCCACGTTGTCAGGTACATAGAAAATTGGATAGTTATTTGCAAATGCCTGTTATTCCTCAGATTAAGGGACTCTTTAAACGCCCCGGTTTCTATGAAAAAATAATGAACCAACATAATAGAAGGAAACAGGTAGAAGGTAATTATGAAGATATTTATGATGGGTCAGTCTATCAAAACTTAAAAAACCCTGGCAATTTACTAGCTGCTGAAAATAGCTTTTCTCTTACTTGGTACACAGATGGAGTACGCATATTTAGATCCTCTAAAAGTGAAATCTGGCCATTTTACTTGACCATTAATGAATTGCCTTACCGTGATCGAACTAAAATTGATAATGTAATTATAGCTGGTCTATGGTTTGGGAAAACGAAACCACTTGTTAACCATTACTTGAAATTTATCCAACATGATTTACGTGCTCTTCGGAATGGGGTGGATGTTATTGTTCCTAATAGGATGGAAAGAATACGGGTGCGAGGTGTAGTGATGTGTGGGACTTGTGATTTACATGCTAAAGCTAAATTCTTAAATATGAAACTGTACAATTCAAGATTTGGGTGCCAGGTTTGCAAGATAGAAACTGTTAGAGAGCATCCAGGGAGGTTAAAAAGAATTTACCCGTTTGAGTATAATTTAAATTTAAGAACTGATGAGGAGCACAGAATGTTTGCGCGTCAAGCTCAAGCATTAAACCGTCCAGTAATGTGTGTCAAGGGACGCAGTGCTCTATCAACATTTGTTGCAAACCCAATAGAATCGACAGCAGTTGATGTTATGCATAATACGTTCATGGGCGTTTCTAAATTTTTAGGTCAGGTCTGGTTTCACAAAGATCATGTAGGTCACCCTGCTTCTCTTCATCCCCATGTTAGGTTGATAGATAACAGACTTCAATCAGTGAAGGCCCCTGACTTTCTTCAAAGGCAACCTCGTTCCATAGGTGACCACTTTAGTTACTGGAATGCTTCTGAGCTGAAGGCATGGTTGATGGTTTACTCTCTTCCTCTGTTGGAGGGTGTAATGCCAGAGCCTATCTTTACACATCACAAACTTCTTGTATTTGGTATCTCTCTTTTATGTAGAAATAGTGTATCACCTGAGATGGTTCGTTTGGCTTCACGTTTGTTGGCAGAATATGTGAACAGATTCCAACTTGTGTATGGTTTGACTTACATGTCTCCCAATGTCCACTTACTCCTCCATCTACCTCTTGTTGTGGAGAGGTTTGGTCCATTGTGGACAACATCATGTTTTCCATATGAAAGTTGTAATGGTGTCTTGAAAAGATTAGTGTCTGGTACCAGACATGCAGAATTCCAAATCCACAGCTCTGCATCTATGTTTCTCAACCTCACTGCATACAGAACTGGTCGCCTGGAACCAGGAGGGAAGCCATTCAAATTCTGTGAGAAACTAAACCACTTCAGAAAAAAGTATAATCTAACTGTAATGATAAATGACAGAATGGCAGTGGTTGGTAAGATGCAGCGGGTAGTGGATTTGCCTGAAGACATTCTTCAGGAACTGGAACATCTCCCAATGGAAAATAGAAATTATTTTGAATTCAAAAGGTTATTTAACACACAGCTAAAAATTATTTTTTCATCCATGTCTCACAATAGAGGTTCTAAAACTAACTCTACCTGTTTAAAGTACCATTTAAATGGCGTTGAAGCTTTTGGAATTGTTCACTCTTATCTTAAAATAACGGAATGCAACTGTGTAGCTGCTTGTGAGTGTGGTGGTACATTTTTAGCCATCATTAAGAAATGTGTTGTTGCACCAGCTTATCGGGTACTGCCTTATGGTGTTGTCCCTCTAATATATACCTGTAGACAAGTTGACAGTTTTGTGGCAGTTCCTATTGAAAATCTTATTTATGTGTGTTACCTGATTGATGTAAGGGACAGAAACTCGACTTATATTGTTGAACCGATGAATACCCATGAAATTGAGTAGAAAGTTGCGGTATTACAAGTTATGTGGTATTTTCAAATGCCTGTTATATGTTTTAGTTTTTGTGTGAGTGTGAGTCTTGTGACGCATGTTGTATATAGTTTCATTTGCCTGTATAGTATTGCATGCTGCATATGCAGTGGTCATGTGGTAGGAAATCAACTTAATTGATTCCCAATAACATATCTCATTTTATTTTTTTGGCCTGTGCTTTTGCTTTTGAGAAATTATCTTGCTATAGCTGTGTGTGCTGGCATTTTTAGAATACACTCTAAAAGGCAACATACTGAAAGTTATTTATCTGCCCAGCCGTACTATTACTGGTCACATATTGTTTGTATTGTTTCACATACTTTTTTTTCTTTTACTGTTAATATCTGTTTATTTTCACCCCAAGAATTTGTTATCAGTTTCTGTTATATTCATGTTGAAGTATTATGTATACTGTCCGAAGATCCACTAAAGTCATTCCTCCTTTTGTGCTCCATCTATTCTTGTTCGTTCAGCACGCAACAATTATCTTTATCTTTTAAAAGTTCAGCCATGCTCAACAGTCGTTACTTGTCCCAAGGGTTAAAATTTGTGTATATTCTTAGGTATTTGATTTCATTAAGATTAATGATATCGCACCTTTCTTTGTTAGTTATTTTAGTTGTTAATTTTAGTCTAGCCATGTGCATGATCAGGAAAGTGGAACCAAGTTCAGCCAAATCTGCACATGAATGTTGACAAAGGTTTTTGCAAACGCTCAGCCCAATTTTAATTTTTTAACCCGTTTTAGTTGTTAATTTTAGTTTAGCCTTGTGCATGATCAGGAAAGTGGAACCAAGTTCAGCCTAATCTGCAATTTATTGTTATA